GTGTGTGTGTGTGTGTGTGTGTGTGCATATAAATGCAGTCATTTAGGGGAGAACTTTTGCCTATTGTCAGCTGCATACTTGAGTGAGCACGCGTTGAGTCGTATGCGCTGGGTTCCCCTGGCAGGTTGCAGCTTTCGAACGTATACCGGTGGTTTCACTCTGTTATCTGTAATGGCGAACCCTGTATCGTTCTCTCGCCGGCTGAGGGAGGTGGGGAACCTGGGTTAATGCGCCTGTGTGTGAATCCGTCTATACTGGCAACGTTTCGTTGTCCTCCCGCGTATCCCGCCCTGCGCCTCTGCCTCCAACCCCCAACCTTTACGTGGCCGCGTAGTAATTGGTATGTTCTCTAGAGTACGGGAGAGGTAGTTGCGATGGCTCACCTATGGTTGGTGCAAGTGAATTGCTCTTTTAGTGGCACACTACGCTCTGTACGAGGTTGCTGCTTTGTGTCTGCCAAAGGTCCTTCTAGATGGTTTAATTGATGTCGTGCCACTGCATTAGGAAACAGACCACTGTTGACTTCCACACCTGACTTGTGTCAGCAAGTTATTCTCCCTTTTTTTCACTCTACTTTCCTTAGTGATATTCTCTGTGAACTGCAAATCGAATACATGTCTTCAAAACGACGCTGTGTCGACCTTGTTTGATTCTGCGTGCATCGTTCGTAGGCACCAAGGTAGCCCGAGCTGATTTCTCGTGCAAACAACCTTGAGGCCTTACTAAGCTCTGTGATCAGGGCTTACCTACGCGGTGTTATTCGAGGATGGCAAAGGTAAACTGCGATTTCCTGCTCTCATTCCTTTTGCATTGTTGCTTTTTCTCTGGTCCTCATCCGGTAAATTGTGGCTTTTAAACATGTTGTACAGGGTTGAATTTCATTCGCTTCTGTCATGACATTTTTGCGAATGGGACTTGACCATGGTGCTATTGGAGCTGAGGGGAAGGGAGGCTTGCGCATGACTGTTGTGTAAAAGTGCTGTCCTAGTTTGGCTTTTTTCAGGTAAATGTGGTTGACGAAATCTCAAGAATACGGCTTCCAGAGAAAGCGCTGTTTGTTGTTTTCATGTGGCTGAGGACTGGTAAGACTGCGAAGGCTGCGTCAGCAATCAGGCACTTGAGGAGCCCCCACAGAGTAGCTGGAATTCGCAGACTTCGGATACTGTCCCATGGTTTTCGTAGATGCCCAAGCCTTAGTTTTCAACTTTTGGATAATTTTAGTATGCACCCGCTACTTCAATCACTCATCGAAAAGTCCCTCTAGTGGGCTCTTCTTGACTTATGCATACGGCATTATTTTTAATCTGCAATGCTTTTATCTCTTTATCGCAGAAGCTTAAGTTTATAGTGAAACCTCTGCCGCTGCGATCCTCAGGCCCCATTCTGTGAGGGAGAAGATAAGAAGGGAGACGCCAGAGCAGAAAGAGTAGTTTATTCTGTACAGAGGAGGTGGAGAATGGGTAAGAGGAAGTTGGATGCCGGACGCGCGTAAGTCTGCATCGGAGCGGGTGAGTGTCCGAAGTGTTTGAGCCTGACAGTCATCACAGAAGGGTCTTGTGTGAGTCAACCTCAGGAAGGTGATTGGCCAGACCCAATTGGGATAGGCAAGCGTTAGTGTGTGCGCACTTAAACG